AAAGTGAACATGTTGCATTGTTTTTTGTTGCATTGAGATTTAATTTCTTTTGATAGTATTTTTGAATACTATGCGTCTCTATACATAATTTAAATCACTTTTCCTGTTAAGTTTGTGTACTTACATACATTAAAATACGATTTTTCAAGTGTACGAATATTTATTTCCCCCCACTGTATTCCTCATAATTTTACTTATTGTGTATCCTTTTTTGAACCTTACAGGGTTCATCGAAAAGAACTCTACTTTAAGCATGACGCTTTAAATATCCTTGTTTTTATCTATAAAACAGTAAGGTTTCTCCGCACAATGTCGCTCCAGAATTCACTAGGCCTAGCAGCCATTATCTCTCCCTGTTTAATGGCATCTACGCAGACCCTCGCCCTGCGTGTGATCGTGTTATGCTAATACTGAGCAATTGAGCGCGATAGCGGGCAACCCTTTAGCGTATAGACCGCTCTGCGTATTGCCCATACGCCTTCCAACCCCCCCCTACACAACACTCTCTGCCGGCCGTATAGATAAGTAATACGATTGTGACAGTGCCAGGCTTAACCTTCGCTAGCAGATTTACCCATAATACGATTGTGATTGTGCAGCTTTTAACCTTCGCTCGCTGATGTATTAGTATGATTAATTAATTATACTATTTAATTAATCATACTAATTAACTTAATTATCAGATTCAATATTCATACATTTTAATGCTCCAGATTTGAGTTATTAGATTAAAATGTTCAGGTGATTATAAAATGAGAATAATGAAATGCTCAGCCATGGGTTTAGTTTCATTTTTATCTGGAATTAAATCCAAGGCAGCGTTTGTAATTTAAATGTCGTTCGCGCTAAGGGGTTAAGCGGAAAGCTGCCTGGCTCCAGCGTGCACATGCTAGAATTGCTGTTGTTGGAAATTATCGAGGCGGTAAGTTTCTCGCTGCATAAAGCATGTTTATCGTCGCCCCAGTCGAGTATCCACGAATCCATGAATAGCATTATTGTGGTAGCGTTCGCTGCCCGGCAGGAACACTTGCTTGTTATGGTATGTTCTGCTTGAGCAACTTTTCCCGCCATGCTGGACGTCGGGACCGAGAGAATTGATGCTATCCAAGCTCAAGTTAAGGTCCAGGCCAGGTTTGATTTATTGGCTGATGTCAGAGGATAATTATATTATCGCAGGAGAGAGAAGGCTTAGGGACTAAATATATCTAGAGATTTTATTGAAAATTATCATAAGTTTCGTTTGAACTTTTCTATCATCTCAATAAATAATGAGATGTGACCTTTTCAATTATCCTGCGTCTCAGTGAACACAACTGCTCATCCGCAATGCCGAGCTGGCAGTTCGTTTACTTTAATTTAAATTTGCACGCTAGCATTCGGATTTCCTCGTCAGCACAGTGGAAGAATTATGCAATTTATACAAAAATGTGTTATGTCCCTGTGGACGATAATCGAATTTGAGTTACTGATACTCTTCGTACAATTTAATACCATAATTCGTACTCAGCAATCACTGCAGCGGCAGCGCTTCTGCACGAATTGTTCACAAAAATTCTGATACATTTCGTTATAACACTAATGAAATACAAGGAGATGCTATCACGAAAATTTTACACGGAAGCAATCTACAAATGAAATTCTTAACATCAAAAAAATCAAGCAATCATGACAGGAGGACGAGACCAGCCGCTCCCTCCCGTCCTCCTCTTCCTCGTTATGACATAACCCACAATAATCGATCTCGTTGCCCACATTGGTGCTTGACTGGGATGAGTGTCCGTTCTCTCCGTAGCCGCGTTACCTGCCCAGCTTCGGCCTCCCATGGATCAGAACTGCCGGGCTTGTTTGTTCCATAAAACCAAACTAGTCCGTCGGGCATCAAAGCCCATCCAGAAGACAGCCACGCCTCTAATATTGTCTGTGTTTCTTTCTCTTGCATACTGTTCGTATTTGTTTCCCTTGCGTATTTTGTATGTTTCTTTCCCTTGCATTTTGTCTGTGTTTCTTCCCTTCAGCATATTGTCTGTATTTTTTTCTCTTGCATACATTGTCTGTATTTCTTCCCTAGCATCTTGTCTGTATTTCTTCCCTAGCATATTTATTGTCTGTATTTCTTCCCTAGAATATTGTCTGTATTTCTTCCCTAGAATATTGTCTGTATTTCTTCCCTAGCATATTGTCTGTATTTCTTCCCTCGCACATTGTCTGTATTTCTTCCCTAGCATATTGTCTGTATTTCTTCCCTAGCATATTGTCTGTATTTCTTCCCTAGCATATTGTCTGTATTTCTTCCCCTATCGTCATGTCTAATGTCTGACAATGATGTCGCTGAAGTTCCACCGTTTAGTGCCGCTGATTTGATCTTCTTTTTTTAGCTTTCTAGGTTATTTTGCCCCGATTAATTGTCTTATTGAGCATGTGCAATTAATTCAAGTTCCTCTCTATACTTAAGAGGCAATATTGCATGCGCATTAAATGACGGAAGAAATTTAGTTTACTATGTATTTCATGACAATAATATGCAGTGTTTAATTTCGCACCACAATCTTCAGCTTGCAGCGGTTGCAACCTCCACAATATGAACCACATTGACTAGTCCTAAGTTCAATGCAGGTAATGAATGTGGTGAAGCCACAAGCTTGCTGATTGTAGTGTTTTTTTTTTTCGCCTGCAAAGCCGCTCTTCGTGGATGGCTGGTAGAGTTAAATAACTGGCGGATCATCGTTAGTCTGACTTATTGGGTCTGATCACATGTAGTCTGCTCTGCCTAAGCCCATTCTTCGTTCGAAATATTTACTGTGCAATCGAAAATGAAGTTCCGTGTATATTTACATTCTCCCTAAAGCCCCGTTTCCCCAGCCTGAATGAACCTGGCGCAACAAGGTTTGTTCGGGAGGCGGGATGAGGTTAAAACAACACTCAATAGTGCAGCGACGCGTTGCGTGTTGCCTTAGTCTGCAACTCGAGTCACTCGTGCAGTTAGTTCGTATAGCGAGGTGCCTCTAGTTCATGCACCGAGGTGCCTCTAGTTCATGCACCGAGGTGCCTCTAGTTCATGCACCGAGGTGCCTCTAGTTCATGCACCGAGGTGCCTCTAATTTATGCGCATTAGTCTCTGATTGGAGCGCATGAGGTGCTATTCGCCAGCAAGCACCTCTCCAAAAACTACATCTCAAATTATAGGCGTTTCATTGGTGGCCAGAAGACGGCCGATGGTCAGCCATCAATGAATGATTCGCAGTGTTTTTTTTTAAGTATCCCTCGTCAGGCTGTCACTGATGTACATAGACTCTCGACGCAGCTCTTGTGACCTCATAAGTGCTGCCGCGCATTCTTTATGTTTACTGTACCGCTTTTCTCCAGCTTGAAAGCCTTTTCTTGACGTCATACGTTCAGACACAAAACCCAATTGCAAAAACGCTATTATATTTCAATCACAGAACAGGTTCGAATCCTTTTGTTTTATTATCTAATTTTGTCTAGAATTTAGAATATTAAGGAATATCTGCCGTCAACTGCTACCCGCCAGTGTTGATCTTTGATCTAGTAGCGTTAGAAGTGATGTCTCTTAACATAGTCTTGCGTTGTGGCCGCGGACTTCAGACGAGAACTTCATCATGAAGCTCTTCACGTCCCTCTCACTTGTCATCCATCACCGGGGTACTTGTTCAGCTCCACTGTAATTACTCATCTGAGAGGCTGTTCTGGCCATGCATTGAACTGTATTGCATGTTCAACGT